AACCATATTTTGAAAATAAATTTTTAATTTTTGTTTATTTTCATCTTGTTTTCGAAACATTGCCGAAAATATTTCTGTTTTTAAGTTCATCAAAATTATACACCAAATAAATTTTTGATCCTTGATGATAACTATAACGTGAAACTCAAATCAATAACTTGAGGTGAAATGGAAAACTTTATAATTAAAGGGTAATGTGTCTAGAAAGGACAAAATGTGAATTTCCCTGACTGCCTGGAATTTTTTAGCCATATTCTTTCGATGTACAATAATTTTTTGTTTGTTTTTTTGGGGGAGAGTTGAATTCTTGGTTTTGCAAAATTTGTACAAGTTAATGGGTACTATTAGACTACAAACTCATTAGTGCACATTACGTTTCGCCACCAGTCACAAGATCTCATACACAGACTCTTTCTTTTCTTTTTCCTTTTTTATACATAAAATAAATATGTAAATACCATCATTTCACGTAGGGAAATGCTATTTGTACATTATTTATGAATTTTATTTAGAGATTTAATGATGTATAATCATTAAATTGATTGTGAATTTCATTTAATATTGAAACTAACAACTAATCTAATGATTATATTAAATCACATTATTAAGTTATTAAATAAAATTTCTATAACGTTGCTCTTTCACATATTAGTAAGAAAACATTGCCTTTTAATACTTTACAATTTTACTTTTATTTTTTTTGGTTATAAGATATTTAGGTTTGTATCGATTACTCTTTTGAGTTTTAAATCGATCACCGTAATTTAAACTAATTTAAAAATATATTCCAAACAAGAATGAATGACTATTAAAAACTACGAGAAATATCGTAGCTAAAAAATCTTATTTATAAGAGAAGAAACTTTAACTATTGGACCATTTCTGAAAATTCAACAACTCCACTTATTCGTTAATGACCATTGCCTTTCAAAGCTCCTCAACTATCTGCAAGAAATTTCACCATAGTTATGTTAATACTGCATACGCCTTTTTAATAACCCTCTCTCCTCTTTGACGCCACTATGCATGTATGTATTGCTAGACTATTCCACGTACATGTACACTTTCAGCTACAAATCAACATCTCTCTCTCTTTTAGACCACAAAGTTGGTTGATTCTATCTTAGTGCAAGTGGGTTGGTACGTACAATCGATCACATAGATCTTCGACGATACTGATCGAGCAACAGAGATGTCGGAAAACAACGACGTTTCATTCAGGAAACCGGCGTCCAGACTCCGGTGGGACGTGTTTCTAAACTTCAGAGGGGAAGACACTCGCGATACTTTCACTGACCGGCTCTACGAAGCGCTATGTCGAAAAAAAGTCCGAGTCTTCCGCGACGACGACGGGTTGACTCAGGGAGATTCACTCACTCCAACTCTTCTCAACGCGATCGAAGACTCGGCGGCTTCGATCGCCATCATCTCCCCCAGTTACGCTTCCTTCAGGTGGTGCCTCGAAGAACTCGCTACGATCTGCGAGTTTAAACGACTCGTTCTTCCCGTTTTCTACCGAGTCAACCCGAGCGATGTTCGGAGACAGAAAGGACCGTTCGAAGAGGATTTTCAAACACTGGAGAGAAGGTTTGGAACGGAAAAGGTGTTGCGATGGAGAAATGCTATGGAAGAAGTCGGTGGAATTTCCGGTTGGGTTTTCGATGACCGGTAACAAACACTGTCTTCAATCTCAAGAAATTCTAACTATTTAGAGTCTTGACTATATAATCTTTTTCTCAGATCTAATTTTTAAACATCACAAGAAAAACTCTTGAAACCCTATATTAGGCCTTTAAAATTCGTGTCTCGTTTTTCGTGTTTTTTGAGGGAAAAGCTTATTATCATGCTTATAGCATATCCTAATTCTGATAGTTGGTTCAGTTTAAATCAGAGTAAACTCAACCCGAGGCTGTTCAAATAATAATAATAAAGATGAACTGTAATTTGTGTTTTAATCTTGTCAACCCTTTGTGGTCAAGTTTCATAAATTATCTGGTCTAGGCGTTGATACCCTGTCTTGTGAGGAAGTTAATCCGGATACTCTTGACCGTTGATTTAAAAAAAATCAAATTAAACTCTAATTCATGTATAATTAATTTATTAAGATTCGGTAAAAACCTTATTACGACTTTGAATAAAATTTTATACTTCAAATTGGCCTGGAAAAGGATATGGGTGCTCGTTAATTTAACTTAACTTGTAGCCTTAGACATGGAAAAATGGTAAAGAAGATTTATTTGGTCAACTCTAAATATTTAACGTTAATACTGAATTGATTGAAGCCTGTGCTTTAGTGCTAGAGTTAGTATATTATAAAGAGGAAGAGCGATTAAATATGGGATTTGCAATAAACTATGTAAGGGACGGTGATGTAATCTTTAGCTCTTTATATGTAAGGTTAGTTGCCTTTTGAAGATTGTGGTTCCTACGGCATTTTGCCATTCTTTAGTGGCCATTTTCCAATTTATTTATTAGTAGCTGTGGTATTTTTAAGTCCCCAGTTGTTCCTGTTGGATTTATTAATTCTCTTGACTTCTCCGCAATTGGGTGAATATTCTGATAGGAGTATCATTTTTTAAGTTGTTACATGAAATCTACCCTCAACCATTAATTATGATTCTAAAATGGTATTTGGACTTAATTTGAGAATTTAATCTAGAAACTTTATTCAATGCAACCATTGAATTGAAAGTGAGCTCCATCTAATATTAAAATTCATAAATAATTCAATGGTTGTATTGAATTAGGTCCCCTAAATTAGATACCTGGAACATTACACTTATAGATATTATATTGGAGTCCTCTCTAAAACTCTCTTTACCATTCAATCGTAACCATTTTGTTATTGATATTCATGGGATAGTACCATGAAAAAAATTTGGGTACCATTTTAAAACTTATTCTTATTAATAGTCATGTTATACCTTTTAAAGTTGAAATTATAATTAATTTGGGTTATTCATGGTTGATCATAAATTGTTATGATCGGTTATGAATGATCGCAATCAAGTGTGGATTGACTTTCAAAAGTTTTAACTTTTATGATTGATCATGTCATTTGTAGTTATAATTTACACTTTTTATTAAAAAAAATTTGTAATTTTTTCTATAGTACATCCTGCGGTACCCTAATCTGCCTCATATTCATGTAGCATCTCTGTAATTAGTACGTACTAATGACAGTTTTTCCTACCAGTGACGAGGAGTCACAGTTGATTGAGCGTTTAGTCAAGAGGATTTCGGCTGAATTGAGCAATAGTCCCGTTTTTGTGGCTCCATGTACTGTTGGACTCAATTTTCGTATACAGGAACTTATGGAATTGTTAGATGTTAAACGCAATGGCATTCAAGTGTTGGGGTTTTATGGAATGGGTGGGATCGGTAAGACAACCCTTGCCAAGGCTCTCTACAACAAACTTGTCAGTCACTTTGAACATCGTAGTTTCATTGAAAATGTTAGAGAAAGTAGTGCAAGGCAAAATGGTTTATTATCACTTCAAAACAAACTTATTGGTGATCTTTCCCAAGGAGTTTTGCAACCAGTGAATGATGATGATGCCGGTAAGGTGGCAATTAAGAGGATACTTTATCACAAGCGCGTTCTTGTTGTTTTAGATGATGTTGACGATATAAGCCAACTTGATGCTTTGGTTGGCAAGAGAGGGTGGGTTTACGAAGGAAGTCGAATCATTATTAGTACTAGGAATGTGAAAGTTTTGTTGACCCCTCTTGTGAATGAGATATACGAGGTGAAGAAATTGGCTTTTGATGATTCATTAAAACTCTTTAGTTACCATGCATTTAGAAGAGAGAAACCCACCATGGAAACTGATTTGAACCTATCCAAACAAATTGTGAATCTTACTGATGGACTACCTTTGGCTCTGGAAGTATTTGGTTCTTTTCTGTATGATAAGAGGAGAGTGGACGACTGGAAAGACGCTATACAGAAGCTGAAGCAGATCCGACCAAACAATCTTCAGGATGTCTTAAAGATCAGTTTTGATGGGCTGGATGAGCAAGAGAAGTGTATATTTCTTGATATTGCATGTTTGTTTCTTAATCTGGAAATGAAGAGAGATGATGTAATTGATGTAATGAAAGGTTGTGGCTTCAGGGCTGAGATGGCCATCAGTGTTCTCATTGATAGGTCACTCATCAAGGTAATGGAGGATGATACTTTTTGGATGCATGATCAAATTAGAGATATGGGAAGACAAATTGTCCTGAATGAAAACCATGGCGATATTGGCACACATAGTAGACTTTGGAACCGTGCTGATGTTCTAAAAGTCTTGCAAGATGGGAAGGTATGGATCTTCATCTTTTCATTGCATGTATTCTTAAGCAGTTTTTAGATTTTGAGCATGTTAACAAATTTGTGAGGTTGCTGTAGTTTTATGAAAGGATAAAGAAATGCAAGCCCTCAAAGTTTACATGTAATCATTGTCCCCAACCCCAAACAAGAACGCCTAGACACACGCACAAATTGAAAATAGACAAAAGGAAGATTGAGAAAGGTAACTAAGAAAAAGAAAACTAGGTGTTGTCTTTCCATTACACAAAAAAGCACTGGTAGTTTACATTATTCAGCTTGAAATGTAAGTTGAAGTTGTCCAAGGATAAGAGCCAACGAAAAATAGGTCGAAGCCATGAGAGGAGGCCTGATTGCAAAGGATTTAGTTGTCGGTGGTGGGTGGTATGGATTTTGGTAGACCCATATGTTAGAATATATTCTTGTGACGGACCTGGATAAGTTGGGATTCATGGTATTGAGTTGAATCAACATGTGGTAGTATCATCTGTGCTCAATTGTTGCTGCATGGAAATATCGAACTCAAAACCAACTAACAGTGAGTAAAGAGACCAACTAGGTTCATCTAGTAGTTTAGGAAATTTTACACTGCCAATGTCGAACGAGCTCTAATAAACTTGAATTTGACCAGAAGAAAGGAGACGAATTCAGCAAATTTTATATGAAGCCAAGAACACATCTCCCTTCTCCATTTCCCCTTGCCTAAGCCCCAAAATAGTTGCCAACTGGTTATTGTGAGAGAGAGAGAGAGAGAGAGAGAGATGTATAATGTGTCTCGAAATTCATTAATTAGGAGAATTACTAGAAGAAATGGTCCACTCTGGCTTCTGTTGTTGACATTCTATTACATTTGTTGGGAAGCATAAAAGCACAGATAGGAAGAAACATACAAGGACAACTCGTCTCAATAAAAATCCCTGTCCCCAATCCCAATAGTCCGGAAAAAGATGGAAGTTTTTTGTCTCTTTTCAAAAAGCAACATTTCAGCCAGAAGTGTTAGTTGTTGTTAGTTAATGGACTTTCAATCGGAAGGAATTCATTTCTCTTTCCTTTCGTTGGGCCTGCCAAAGCGTTCGAAAAGACTTCAATGACTAATTATCAGAATGAATCACTGCCTATCTCTGGAGCTTTCAACTAGCGTTTCCACCCATTTATTTGTGGTCAGAAAAGGAAGAAAGCCACGAATTAAGAACCAAAATAAAAGTCGCCAACTGGTCTCCAGCATCAATGTGTCTGCATGCCTTGTAGTATCATCCTTAGATTACTGTCGCATCTTTCAATTTCCAACTGCTTGCTCTAAATTTCTGGGAACAATTTCAGCTTATCACTTTATTATGTCTATTGATCCTTTGCCGACATGATTGAAATTAGGGGACAAGCAGCATTCAAGGGATCATTCTTGACTTTGAAAAGAAGAACTTCCCAAAGATTAAGAGTGCTAAAGCAATTGCTACGAACAATTTTCAAAGATCACCCACTTTAGTTTCTGCACTAACTTACTTGAAGGAGATATATAAAGGATATTTTCAACATGGTGCCAAGAGTGAGGGAGAAGTGATGCTTTGCACTAAACCATTTGAAACAATGGTTAATCTAAGACTGCTTCAATTGAGTGATGTGAAAATGAAAGGAAGTTTTAAACATCTTCCTGCTGAACTGAAGTGGCTACAATGGCGGAGATGTTCCTTGAAGAATCTTCCATCTGTTTTTTGTCCGCGGGAACTAACTGTCCTTGATCTCTCAGAAAGCAAGATAGAAAGAGTTTGGGGCAGGAGATGGTGGTGCTGGTCCAGGAACAAGGTACGCTTCACTTAATTAACTAATATATGACACAGCTGACTTGAATTCCTTAGGTTTGATGCTTACATTCTCTGAAACAAATAGCTGGTTCTGTTTTACTATTATAACAATCTAAGAGTGGAAAAGTTCACTGTTTTCCAGGTGGCAGAGAAAATGATGGTTATGAATCTCCGAGGTTGTTGTAACATAACTGCTATTCCTGATTTATCTGGGCATCCTGCCCTGGAAAAGCTAATTCTTGAGGGTTGTGTTAACCTGGCTAGGATTCATAAGTCAATTGGTGAGGACCTGAATATGTTACGCCAATTGAATCTGAGAGCATGTTCCAGCCTTGTTGAATTTCCAAGGGACGTCTCTGGCCTAAAACGTCTTGAGAACCTTATCCTCTCCGGTTGCTCAAATCTGAAAGCCCTACCACAGGATATGGGCAGCATGAGTTCTTTAAGAGAACTTCTCCTTGATGAAACAGCCATAGAGAAGCTACCTGAGTCTATATTTAAGCTTGCAAACCTTGAAAGGCTCGGTCTAAATAATTGCCAATCATTAAAACGACTACCCACATGCATTGGTAAGTTGATTTCTTTGAGAGAACTTTCAGTTAACAATTCTGCATTGGAGGAAGTACCCGATGGTATTGGCTTGTTGGGAGAGCTTGAGACGCTAAGTTTGATGTGGTGTAGATCACTTACTGTACTACCTGATTCGGTTGGGAAGCTGAAATCATTGGCAAAATTTTGGCTTAATAGTAGTTCGGTGAAAGAAATGCCAGCTTCTATCGGTTCAATATGTTATCTGAAGGAGTTGTTAGTTGGAGGTTGTTGTAATGTGAGCACATTGCCTGCTTCCATTGAAGGGCTCCATTCCATGGTTGAGCTTCAGTTAGACGGGACATCAATCATAGATCTTCCAGATCAGATTGGTGGCTTGAAATCACTTAAAAAGCTTGAGATGAGAAATTGTAAATTTCTGAGATCACTTCCGGAATCTATTGGGAAGTTGTTGGCTCTTAATACATTGATCATAGTGAATGCTGCCATAACTGAACTTCCTGAATCTATTGGGATGTTGGAAAACCTCATCATGTTAAGGTTGAACAAATGTACACAACTTTACAAACTGCCAGCTTCATTCGGGAAATTGAAATTTTTGCACCACTTGCTAATGGAGGAGACTTCTGTAACCGAATTACCTGAAAATTTTGGGATGCTCTCATACTTGATGGTATTGAAAATGGCAAAGAAGCCTTATCCTGCAGTGCCTCAGAATGCTGAAACAACAGAACAAAAAGATCTTGGTGCAGAAAAGAAATCTAAATGCATTGTGCTTCCGTCTTCTTTTTCAAATCTTTCCTTGCTAATAGAATTCGATGCTCGTGCATGGAAAATATCTGGGAATATAGCAGATGATTTTGAGAAGTTGTCGTCCTTAGAAATTTTGAATCTATCTCACAATTATTTTTGCAGACTTCCATCAAGTCTGAGAGGACTCTCTGTCCTCAAAAAGATTTTTCTGTCCCACTGCAAACAGCTCAAATTTATTCCTCCGCTTCCTCCAAGTTTGGTGGAGGTAGATGCAGCAAACTGTACAGCATTGGAAAGTATATCAAACCTGTCTGATTTGGAGAGTTTACGAGACCTGCACCTTGCGAACTGTGAGAACTTGGAGGACATTCCGGGCCTGGAATGCTTGAAGTCCTTGAGAATCTTGCACATGGTTGGCTGCAATTCATGTGCTTCTGTTGTGAAGAAAAAACTTGATAAAGTACTCTCTCTCTCCCTCTCTCTCTCTGTGTATGTGCTTGAATGTGTGTGCATGCACTCATGTGAATACTTTCAATCAGACTAGAGGATGCAGTTTCAGGCTAATTACCTTTGAATGTGCAATCCTATTGTCGACACATAGGTCTCTTTTATATGACTTATGCCTCTCTCATGTGTATGTGTAGTTTTGTCCGAAGTTTTCCTTAATTTTTGGGTGCTTCTGATTACAGGTCGCTATAAAGAACATGTACGAGTTAAGTATCCCTGGAAGTGAAATACCTGACTGGTTTGCTCAAGGGGTGGTTTGTTTCTCAGCACGCAAAAACTATGCGATTAAAGGCGTTATTATAGGCGTTGTTGTGTCTGTCAACCATCAAATAACTGACGATTTGAGAGATCAACTCCCTGTCATACCAGATGCTGTTGCAACAATCCTCAGATTGAATGAACCAGTGTACAGTATGGCAATGCACTTGGCAAGAGTTCCAAAGACACATGAAGATCAAGTTTATTTTTGTAGATATGAAGATCATCATCCATTGGTTTCGATATTGAAAGATGGCGACACGATAAGGGTAGCATTGAGGAACCCTCCATTTGTTAAGGGGGTTGAGCTCAAGAAGTTTGGGATTCATTTGGTTTTCGAAAATGATGATGACTATGATGGAGATGAAGAAATATTGGATGAAAGCCGACAATCTGTATCAGAAAAATTAACAAGGTTTATCAGATCCTCTGAAGCAAGCAATCATACCTCGGATTCAAGTCATGAAATTGAAGAACTGTTACCAAAAAAATTTAAAAGAAGCTGAAGGACACATGCAGGAGATCAGAGAGCTGATTGGTTGCTTTGGAGTGAGATATTTGGCATGGTAAGGTGCCTTTTAAGGTGGCTTCTACTATTTATGTCTAGCCTATGGAAATGTGAGGTCAGCTTTATGCTACATGCCTTGTAGATTTGAACTATTTTTAGGCATAGGAATTTGCCACTGGAGATGAGGGAAGAATATCCGTTTTACGTGATCTCTCGCGTTCTAATATCATATCTTCAAACCAGTAGACTTAGTTTATGTTGACACATTTTCATTATTAGAATATTCTAGTGTAGCGAGTGGGTATGCCTTGGGCCGATTTAATCAATATATTACCAATCTACCCATATAAAAAAAAAAAAAAAAATCCTCCCAACTTGTGCTAGATTGCATAATAGATTGTTTCGCTTATGGCTCCTTATAGGGTAATTGCCTACCTGCTGGTCTAAATGCAGGAGGCTGTTAGGCAGGAGAGTTAGTACGTTACAGCGACAATGAAAAGCAGTTGTGCTTTGTGGAACATTTGGAAGAAAGAAGGGCAAGACAATGGTACAGTTTTTGGTAACGTATCAACCAATTATAATATTATTCTTCTCCGTTGGGCAAAAAGAATTCTAGGAGGGATTTTTATGCTTGAGAAAAACGTAACTGGCAATCACATAGAGACTCCCCACAATTAACAGTTGCAATAAGCTTGTAAACAAATCATGCGGGAACAAAGTACTCAAAAGGTTCATAACAAAGTTGAGAAGCTCAAATCAGCACTGGTCGCCTAACGGTGAGGGATTGGATTTGGACGAACAATAGATTCGAACATACAGAAATTTGACTCTTATAGATATTTCTTGAACATAAATGATAATTGTGGTTTGTGCGGATAATTGCTAATTATTTAAGTTTTATTCTTGCAAAGATGAATCTTGGCTTTCTGAATGATCTTGTTTTATAGAGAGTAAAAAAAAAAGTTAAATATTCAAACTCTATACCCAGCTCAATTGTCCACCCAATGGTGGTGGTTGGTGAAGCTACAAAGCCCTAGACACAATCTGAAACATCACCACTAGAACAAAGCTGAAAAGACGACCATTCCAGGTGGATTGTTGTGATCATACCAATAACTTAGGGTGGAATGTAAAAAACCTTATAATTAGAGGGTAATGTTTGAAAAATAACATAATTTAGCATACACAAGTGTGACGCCACTCTCTCTCTCTCTCCCCTCATCTTTGACTATGCATGTAATGTACTGTTTACTATTTCACATAAGCGTACAGTTTCAGCGACGAATCAGGTTCCACATCTCTCTCTCTCTCTCTCTTTTTAGACCAGAAGTTAGTGGATTCTCTGAGAGTGCAAGTGGGTTGGTACGTACAATCGATCACATAAACCTTCGACGATACTGATCCAGCAACAAAGATGTCGGAAAACGGCGACGTTTCATCCAGGAAACCGGCGTCCAGACTCCGGTGGGACGTGTTTCTGAACTTCAGAGGTGAAGACACTCGCGATACTTTCACTGACCAGCTCTACAAAGCGCTAGATCGAAAAAACGTCCCAGTCTTCCGCGACAACGACGGGTTGAAACAGGGCGACTCGCTCACTCCAACGCTTCTCAACGCGATCGAAGACTCGGCGGCTTCGATCGCCATTATCTCCCCCAGCTACGCTTCCTCCAGGTGGTGCCTCGAAGAACTCGCTACGATCTGCGAGTTTAAACGACTCGTTCTTCCCGTTTTCTACCGAGTCGACCCGAGCGATGTTCGGAGACAGAAAGGACCGTTCGAAGAGGATTTTCAAACACTGGAGAGAAGGTTTGGAGTGGAAAAGGTGTTGAGATGGAGAAATGCTATGGCAGAAGTCGGTGGAATTTCCGGTTGGGTTTTCGGCACCGGCTGGTAACAAACACTTTCTTCTATCTCAGCTCAAACCCTACAATGTCTAGTCCGATTAAACATCACAAAGAAAAACTCTTGAAACCCTGTTTTATGCCTTAAAAATTCTGGTTTCTTGATTCATAAACTAATCACAACCTTTAAATTGAAAGCGAGTCTTAATATCGAATTGGTACGGGTTAAGTCAGCAATTCAGATGCATATAGAATTATTGAATTCTAACCTGATTTTGATGTCATGTTTCGTTTTTGGGGGAGATAAGCATATTTTGTTCTTAGAAGCATCTTAATCCTGATTATTAATCCAGTTTAGAAAGAGAAATCAGAGTAAACTCTAATTCATGTATTAAGATTTATTGAAAATCTTAATCTGGATTTTTGATAGACATTTTTACTTCAAATGACTTGAAAAGGATGTAAGTGCTTGTAAATTTAACTCCACAGGTAGCCTGTAACATGACAAAATAGTTAAAAAAAAGATTCATATGACCGACCCCAAATTGTTGAGGAAATGTCTAGTTGGGTATATGAATTATGAGCTCTTAAGTTGTTATTGAAGGAAATGGTAGTCTATGTTACGTGGTTCAGAAGACTGGAGGCTGCATTCATGAGGATTGTGAAATTAGACTTTTATGGCTGACGTTTTATATTTGATATTGTTAAAGAGGTTAAAGTGTGTCCTTTAGTGCTAAGGTTAGTATATTCAAGAGGAAGAGGAATTAAATATGGGATTTGCAATAAACTATGTTAGATACTGTAATGGAATCTTTAGTTCTTTATATAAGTTTAGTTGCCTTATGAAACTTTGAAGGTAGTTCCAATTTGTTTATTAATAACTGGTATTTTTAAGTCCCTAGTTGTTCTTGTTGGATTTGTTAATTCTCTTGACTTCCCCATAATTGGGTGAATATTCTAATCGGAGTATCATTTTTTTGTAAGTTACACAAAATCTACTCTCAACATTAATTATGATTGTTAACATGCTAGTTGACAATTGATATTGTAAACATTATATCATGATTGTTAGCATTCTAGTTGACAATTGATATTGTAGACATTTTATTGAACTTTGCCCTTTGTGAGTTTTTTTAATCAAAAAAAAAATTCTTTATGCCATTCAATCTTTAGAATTTCATTATAATTCATGGGATAGCAATATGATATTGCAAAAGAATTTTGGTATTGAAGCGAAAGTATTCTCTTTAATGGTCAAGTTTATAAATTTGTAACTTGTTGAGATTATTCATGACCGATCGTAAAATGTTGTGATCGACTATAAATAATTCGAGTCAATTGTAATTTGACCTTGGTGTAACTTGACATTTGTCATGGTATTTGTGATTGATCATATTCTTTATAGTTGTTACTTACATCCAAAAAGCTATAACTAATCTTTTTAAAAGTAAAGTTGTAACTCATTTTTGGTATTGTACCTCCTTCGGTACCCTAGTCTTCCTCCTATTCATATGGCGTCTTTGTAATTAGTACGTACTAATGACAGTTTTTTTTTGCCAGTGATGAGCCACAGTTGATTGAACATTTGGTCAAAAGGGTTTTGGTTAATACTCCCGTAGTTGTGGCTCCTACTGTTGGACTCAATTTTCGTATACAGGAACTTATGCAATTGTTAGATGTTAAACGCAATGGCATCCAAGTGTTGGGGTTTCATGGAATGGGCGGGATTGGTAAGACAACCCTTGCCAAGGCTCTCTACAATAAACTTGTTAGTCACTTTGAACGCCGCATTTTCATTGCAAATGTTAGGGAAAGTTGTGCAAAGGAAAATGGTTTATTGTCACTTCAGAAAAAACTTATTGGTGATCTTTCCGTGGGAGTTTCACTGCCAGAAAATGATGATACTGGTATGTTAGCAATTAAAACGATACTTCATAGTAGTCGAATTCTTCTTGTTTTAGATGATGTTGATGATACAAGCCAACTTGATGCTCTAGTTGGCAGGAGAGAGTGGATTTACGAAGGGAGTCGAATTATCATTAGTACAAGGGATGTAAAAGTTTTGTCGATGCCTCTTGTGAATGAGATATATGAGGTGAAGCAATTGGGTTTCGATGATTCTTTGAAACTCTTTAGTTACCATGCATTCAGAAGAAAGAAACCCTCCACGGAAATTTATTTTAACATGTCCAAGCAAATTGTGACTCTTACTGATGGACTACCTTTGGCTCTGGAAGTATTTGGTTCTCTGCTATATGATAAGACGAGAGAGGAGGAATGGAAAGATGAGATACAGAAACTGAAGCTGAAGCTGGTCCGACCTAACAATCTTCAAGATGTCTTAAAGATCAGTTTTGATGGGTTAGATGAGCAAGAGAAATGTATATTTCTCGATATTGCATGTTTGTTTCTTAATCTGGAAATGAAGAGAGATGATATAATTGATGTAATGAAAGGCTGTGGCTTCAGTGCTGAGATTGCAATCACTGTCCTCTTAAATAGGTCACTCATCAAGGTACTGGAGGATGGTACTTTTTGGATGCATGATCAACTTAGAGACATGGGAAGACAAATTGATCTGACTGGCACACATAGTAGACTCTGGGACCGTGCTGATGTTCTGAGAGTCTTGCAAGACGGGAAGGTATGAATCTTTGCATGGAACGTCATCTTTTCATTACATGTATCATAAGTAGATTTTACATTTTGAGTATGCTGACAAATTTGTGAGGTTGCTGCAGTTTTTTTGAAAAGACATAGAAATGTAAGTCCTCAAGAATTACATATATTCATTGTGCCCCCCTCTCCCCTCCCCCCCCAAAAAAAAAAAAAAAAAAAAAACACCTAAACACAAAAAAAATGTAAAAGAAAAAAAGATGAGTGATAAAGGTAAGAAAGAAAAAGAAAACTAGTTGTTATCTTTGCAGTGCGCAAAAAAAGCATTGGTAGTTCACATTTTTCGTCTTGTGTAGTGTAAACCAATGAACGCACCTCTGTACATGGGTAATTGGATGCAAGTTGAAGATGTTCAAGGATGAGAAAAAAGTGAACAAAAAATAGTATAAGCCATGAGAGGGGGCCTGGTTGCAAAGCACTTAATAGTTGTGGATATGGATTTTGGAAGAACTGTGTGTTGAGATATATTCATGTGGCAGACCTAGATAAGTTAGGATTCAAGGTTTGTTGAGTTGACTCAAGATGTGCTAGTATTATATGTGCTCCATTGTTGCTGAGGAGAGCAAGACTAATAACGCAGTTAGAAATTCATTAATTTTGTAGAAATATCCAACTCAAAACCAACTAACAGTAAGTGAAGAGACCAACTAGGTTCATCTATTAGTTTAGGAGACCTTACACTGCCAATTTGGAACAAGCTCTAATGAACTTGAAATTGAACCGGAAGAAAGGGGACAAATTCAGCAAATTTTATATGATGCCAAAGTGGTCAGACACAGCTCCCTTCTCCATTCCCCCTTGCTTAATCCCTAGAATAGTTGCCAAAGGGTTATATATATATATATATAAGAGAGAGAGAGAGAGAGAGAGAGAGAGAGAGAGAGAAATGTATAATGTGTCTCAAAATTCATTAGTTTGGAGAAGTAACAGGAGGAATGGTCCACTCTGGTTTTTGTTGATATATTATTACATTTGTTGGGGAGTATATAATCAAAGAGAGGAAGAAACATGCAAAGAAAACTGAACAAAAATCCATGTCCCCATTATTTAGGGTCAACAAAGGAAGAAAGCCAAGAATTAAGAACCAAAATAAAAAAGTAGTCACTTGACCTCCCAGCATTAATATTTCGAGAAAATATTGAGGGTAACGGTTTTAACCACGTCAGTAATATCACGTGGTGTAACTTTCTAATAGAAAAACTACAAAGTGGATAAAATAGATTCCACTTCCTTACATGGAGGTGGTTATGTATTACATGACTTAATAATTATGAATTTTTGTGGAGCTCACTTACAAATTTGTTCATTTTCTATAGGATGGTTATACCACGTGACATTGTTGACTGACATTGTTGACATGGTGTAACCGTCACGCCCAATATTTTCTTGTGTTTCTGCATATGTGATATGTCTTGTAGTGTCATCCCTAAACTGTTGTAACGGCTTTGACTTTCCAAATGCTTGCTCTCATCTTCCGGGAACAATTTCGGCTTGAGTCTTTATTATGTTTATTGATTCTTTATCGACATGATTGAAATTAGGGGACAAGCAGCATTCAAGGGATCATTCTTGACTTAGAAAAAAAGAACATTCCGGACAGTGTAAAAACCATTGCTTGGAACAATTTGAGAAGATCATTCAATATAACTTCTGTACTAGCTTACTTGAAGGAGATATATAAGGAATATTTTCAACAGGCTGCCAAAAAAGAGGGAGAAGTGATACTTTGCACCAAACCATTTGAGCCAATGGTTAATCTAAGACTGCTTCGATTGAGTGATGTGAAAATGAAAGGAAGTTTTAGACATTTCCCTGCTGAATTGAAGTGGCTACAATGGCGGAGATGTTCCTTGAAGAATCTTCCATCTGGTTTTTGTCCTAAGGAACTAACTGTCCTCGATCTGTCAGAGAGCAAGATAGAAAGAGTTTGGGGCAGGATTTGGTGGCGCTGGTTCAGGAACGAGGTATGCTTGACTTAATTAACTCTATGACACAGATGTCTTGAATTCCTTGGGTTTGATGCTTACATTTTCTGAAACCATTAGCTAGTTCTATTTTTCGTCCATAACAATCTAAGAGTTGAAAAGTTCACTGTCTTCCAGGTGGCAGAGAAATTGATGGTTTTGAATCTCCGAGGTTGTTGTAACATAACTGATATTCCTGATTTATCTGGGCATCCTGCCCTAGAAAAGCTAATTCTTGAGGGTTGCATTAACCTGGCTAGGATTCATAAGTCACTTGGGGAGGACCTGAATAAGTTACGCCAATTGAACCTGAGAGCATGTTCCAGCCTCGTTGAATTTCCAAGTGATGTCTCTGGCCTAAGATGTCTTGAGAACCTTATTCTCTCCGGTTGCTCAAACCTGAAATACCTTCCACAGGATCTAGCCAGCATGAGTTCTTTAAGAGAACTTCTACTTGATGAAACAGCAATAGAGAAGCTACCTGAATCTGTATTCCGGCTTACAAAGCTTGAAAGTCTCAGTCTAAAAATGTGTCGATCCTTAAAAAGACTACCCTTATGTATAGGTAAGCTGGCTTCTTTGAGAGAACTTTCAGTAGACAATTCTGCATTGGAGGAAATACCTGATACCATCGGCTCGTTGGGAAAGCTTGAGACACTAAGTGTGATGTGGTGTAGATCACTTACTGTACTACCTAATTCGGTTGGCAAGCTGAAATCATTGACAAAACTTTGGCTTAATAGTAGTGCGGTGAAAGAAATGCCTGCTTCTATCGGTTCAATATGTTATCTAAAGGAGTTGTCAGTTGGAGATTGTTATAATGTGAGCACATTGCCTGCTTCCATCGAAGGGCTTTATTCCATGGTTGATCTTCAGTTAGATGGGACATCGATCAAAGATCTTCCAGATCAGATTGGTGGCTTGAAATCACTTAAGAAACTTCAGATGAGAAATTGTGAATCTCTAAGATCACTTCCGGAATCTATTGGGAAGTTGTTGTCTCTTAATACATTGATCATAGAGAATGCTGCCATAACCGAACTGCCAGAATCTATTGGGATGTTGGAAAATCTCATGATGTTAAGATTGAACCAATGTAAGCAACTGTACAAACTGCCAGCTTCATTTGGGAAATTGAAATCTTTGCATCACTTGCTGATGGAGGACAGTTCTGTGACAGAATTACCCGAAAATTTTGGGATGCTCTCATGCTTAATGATATTGAAAATGGCGAAGAATCCTTATCATAAAGTGCCTCAAAATACTGAAATAACAGAGCTAAAAGATCTTGCAACAGAGAAGAAATCTAAACTCATTGTGCTTCCATCTTCTTTTTCAAATCTTTCCTCGTTAGTAGAATTTGATGCTCGTGCATGGAAAATATCTGGGAATATGCCAGATGATTTTGGGAAGTTGTCATCCTTGGAAAATTTGAACCTTGCTCACAATGATTTTTCCAGGCTTCCATCAAGTCTGAGAGGACTCTCTGTCCTCCAAAAGCTTGTCCTGTCCCACTGCAAACAGCTCAAAGTTATTCCTCCTCTTCCTTCAAGTTTGGTGGAGGTATATGCTGTAAACTGTGCAGCACTGGAAAGTATATCCAACCTGTCAGATTTGGAGAGCTTACGAGAGCTGCACCTTGCAACTGTGAGAACTTGGAGGACATTCCGGGCCTGGAATGCTTGAAGTCCTTGAGAAAATTGCACATGGTTTGTTGCAAGTCATGCTCTTCAGTGGTGATGGAAAAACTTGATAAAGTACTCTCTCTCTCTCTGCATGCACACACACATGCACGGAATAGTGTGCACGTTTCTGACCATGTGGGCCTTGTCTAGTTGGTCTCCGGTGATTCTCTCGACCAGGAGGCCAAAAAGTCAGTCCTTGCAAAAGATTGATTCTTATGTCTTCTTCTTTGGGATTCAATGCCCTTCTTTTGGCTTTTGTTTCGCCCTTTTATGGGTATTTACTCCTCTGCTATTGGTATTATTCTTCTTTGTAATACTTTTTTGTTCATTGAAATATTGATATGCCCATGTACAAAAAAAAGAACTTCTCCATGTGTGGTATATGCAAATCCCCAAGAGTCAAGGTCACTGTATTGGTTGCTTTATCAATACATAGGTCTCTTCTTCATGACTTATGCATCTCTCATGTTGTGTTTTTTAGTAGTTTTGTCCGAAAGTTTTCCTTAATTCTGGGTGCTTCTGATTACAGGCTGCTGTAAAGAATATGGACGAGCTAAGTTTTCCTGGAAGTGAAATACCTGACTGGTTTACCCAAGGAGTGGTTTCTTTTTCAAGGCGCAAAAACTATGCAATTAGAAGTGTGATTATAGGCGTTGTTGTGTCTGTCAACCATCAAATAACGGATGAATCGAGAGATCAACATCCTCTCATACCAGATCTTATTGTGACAATCCTCAGATTGAATGAACCAGTGCACCGACATACCATGCGCTTGGCAACAGTTCCAAAGACAGATGAAGATCAAGTTTATTTGTGTCGATATGAAGCTCATCGTTCCTTAGTTTTCATGTTGGAAGATGGCGACAGGATAAGGGTAGCAATGAGGGACCCTCCATATGTTAAGGGGGTTGAGCTCAAGAAGTTTGGGACTCATTTGGTTTTCGAAAATGATGACGACTTTGATGGAGATGAAGATAATTTGGATGAAAGTCAACAATCTGTATCGGGGAAATTAACAAGCTTTATCAGATTCTCTAAAGCAAATAATCATACCTCGGACTCGAGTCATGAACTAAGGGTGTACTCAAGGCACGAGGCTCCCACAATTGTCGGGTTTGAAGAGGATTAGATGTATGCAGCCTTATAACCGCAAACAGCGAGGTTATTTTTGCAACTCGAGTCTGTGACTTTCAAGTTATAATGGAGCAATTTTACTGTTACGTCAAAGTCCGTCCTCACTCGAGTCATCAATTATAACATGTTAAAAGAAGCTGATGGATAGATGTAAGCGATCATGGAGCTGTTTGGTTGTTTTGGAGTTTGATATTTGGCAAGTTAGGAACTACAAGGATAAACATTCTCAGGGGAGTCTACTATTGATGTCTAGCCTCTCAGAATGTGAGGGAAGCTCTATGCTACATGCCTTGTGGATTTGAGGAATTTTCATTTCATCTAATCTCTCGAGTTCTGAGAGTGTATATTCAAATTAATAGAATTGGTTCATGTTGAGACATCTTTATTATTAGAATACATAGTGTAATGAGTGGGCATATCTTGAGCCGATTTAATCAATATATTACTAATTTACCCATCAAAAGAAAAAAAAAATGCTCTCAACCTGTGCTAGATTGCATAATAGCTGACAAAAAAAAAAGTGTACCATATCAAGGTTAACAAATAAATAAATAAATAAATATGATAATTTGGGATCAACTTACGACCCAAAAAGGTTAAATTGTAATTATATGGGGTTAAGTTACAACTAAAAAAAATAAAATCAATACTAAAATATTAAAATTGTTCCAAAACAACTCTATCCGCTATAATCTCACCAAATTGAATAATAATAAGCTTGTTGCTATTTAACAAAGCTTAGTACGATCCAAAAAAATAATTAGAAGTGTGAAAGTCTTACTCGAGAAAGAAATAAGAAGTATTGTGTAATTTTCAATGAATATTGGTGGCATAGTTGTGCTTAAGCACTGAAATTTCCAAGCTGCTGCTGTTGTAAGTAGAAACAACTTGAAGCCATTGCATTTTATCTACCACAACTGGAACTAAAACAATGCCATGCTTTCCTGCTTGACGGCCTGCCACTTTTCTATGCAACGGTTTGGTTGAATTACACCCTGTTAATTAGTGTGTGGGAGTCCATATCAATGCGGGTTTCAAAGCTCGTATCTTACTTCTCTACTAATAAATTATCAAGAATATTGTGGGAGTCTAATTTATTGACAAACTTTATTATTGTTATTGGATACACAATGAATCTTATAATATTAAGACCTAATGATAATAAACCAATATAATTAAATTAAACTAATAAATCAAATCCAAATAATATTCTTACCTTTGTCACGGGAAAAAAAAACTTATAGGTATTTTTATACTTGAACTCATCAAACCAACAATTGCATACAGAGGCTTCTCAGCTTTCTTACCAACCTTTTCACTTTTCAGCACTTTGTTACCCCCATATGGTTTGTTTCTAACTTACTGCTTACACTGTTTAGTGTGAGTAGTACTTACCCTAAAAACACAGAAAGCTCAGAAGCTCTAATCCGTACGGATAGCCCAAGAGCGAAGGGTTGGACCTAGACAAATTATAGATCCATATATGAAAAATTCGGCTTTTATTGGTATCTAACGAACTTAAATAATACATATAATTTACAATAAATTATAAGTATTCAAATTTTAATCTTACAATAATAGGTCTAAAGTGACCAGTGTCCTAAAGAGATTTCCCGTAAAATAAAAAAACTGAGAACCTCAAAAATATTCAAACACGATACCCAACTCAATCTTCCACCCAATGGTGGTTGCTGCTGAAGCAACGTAGCCCTAGACACAACACAACTAGAACAAGTTAAAAAGTTTTATAATTAAATTAAATGTTTTGCTTACCAAAATATTTATCAAAAGGTATATTCAAAGGCGGAGTCAGAATTTTTGTTTATTCCGGGCAAAGTTAAGTATTTATATGACTAGCAAAATACAAATGTAAACTCATAAACGTAGTCCACTAATGATCCAAAAATTTTGTTTTTAATGTTGACCCAAAAATTTTATTTTTTAATTGTGGCCCAAAAAATTTGTTTTTAATGCTGGGCCAAAAAATTTATTTTTTCAATGTTGGGTCAAAAATTTTTGTAATAGGTTTGGGTAGATAATATTGTGCTCAAATTTTTTTGTTTTAAATGGGTTAAATTTTTTAATTTTTTTGGATAAATAATGTGGACCTAATATAAATAAGGGGTACACATAATATATTATATAAATATATAATACATATACCTTACTAATAATTTTTTTTTTTATCCTATTATGCAGTCCACCATAGCCCACTAGTGACTACGTCTTTGGGTGCATTTAGTATAATGGTAAAATTTTTGGTATGTATAATATTTCCTATAATTGGAGGGTAATGTTTGAAACAGATCATAATTTAGGAGACAAAGAGTAAATGCACCCAAAGACGTACATGTACAGTTTCAGCGACAAATCGACATCTCTCTCTCACACTCTGTTTAGACCACAAGTTAGTGGATTCTTACTTACCGAAAAAACAAAAAAGTTAGTGGATCGAACACATAGATGTCGGAAAACGACGACGTTTCATCCAGGAAACCGGCGTCCAGACTCCAGTGGGACTTGTTTCTGAACTTCAGAGGCGAAGACACTCGTGATACCTTCACTGGGCAGCTCTATAACGCACTATATCGAAACGGCGTCCGAGTCTTCCGCAACAACGACGAATTGACTCAGGGCGACTCACTAGCTCCAACTCTTCTCGACGCGATCGAAGACTCGGCGGCTTCGATCGCCATTATCTCCCCCAGCTACGCTTCCTCCAGGTGGTGCCTCGAGCAACTCGCTACGATCTGCGAGTTTAAACGACTCGTTCTTCCCGTTTTCTACCTAGTCGACCCGAGCCATGTTCGGAGTCAGAAAGGACTGTTCGAAGAGGATTTTCAAACTCTTGAGGAAAGGTTTGACTTGGAATATGTGAAAGGGATACTCAAACTCAAAGTAGAGTCCCGTATATATAGCCAAAAATAATATAGAGTGACTTAAACATCCTTGTAGTTTAGGCAAAATATAAAAATCATAGTAAGGGTAAAAAAGATAAAAGAAATCCTAATAAACCTAGACTACTATCTATACTCCAACACTCCCCCTCAAGTTAGGCGCAAAAATGTCAACTAAGCCAAGCTTGACAACGGAGTCCCGAAGAATAGGCAGAGTGACAGGTTTGGTAAAAACATCCGCAACTTGATCACTGGTCCCCACAAACGATGGAGTAACAAGACCACTGCTGACCTTCTCCCGAAGAAAGTGAACATCGATCTCTATATGCTTCGTTCTCTCATGTAGTACAGAGTCAGAAGCGAGCTGAATAGCAGATTGATTATCACAATATAATGTGGATGGAGAGGTCACTGAAAAACCCAACTCGTCAAGAATCGATCGTAGCCAGATAATCTCACATGTGCCAAGTGCCAATGCCCGATACTCTGCCTCTGCGGACGAGCGGGAGACAACTGCCTGCTTCTTGCTCTTCCAAGAGATAAGATGAGTCCCTCGAAAAGCACAGAAACCCGTAGTAGATCGACCATCACATGCTCCCCCATAATCTGAATCTGAATAACAGGCTAGAGAACCGGTCTGAGATCCTGATGCATAAAACAATCCAAGTCCAGGACAAGACTTGAGGTACCGAAGAATATGATAAACTGCATTAAGATGAGGCTGACATGGCCTATGCATGAACTGATTAACTCGGCTGACTGCGAATGAAATGTCCGGCCTAGTATTGGCTAAGTAGATAAGTCTACCTACCAATCTTTGATAAACTGTCGGATCTTTCAACTCCTCACCTTCAGCAGTAAGCTTCAGGTTTGGAATCATAGGTGATGATGCCGGTTTGCACCCCAACATCCCAGTGTCTGAAAGAAGATCCAAAACATACTTTCTCTGAGAAAGAACAATATCTCTGCTTCTACGGGCAACCTCAATCCCAAGAAAGTATCGCAGAAATCCAAGATCCTTCACATCGAAGGCCTTCCCAAGGTCTATCTTGACCTGCGCAGTCCCAGAAACATCATCACCAGTAATAATAATATCATCAACATATACCAGAAGGATGACACACTGTCCAGAAGTATTCCGTCGAATAAAGCAGGTATGATCAGAATGACATCTGGTGAACCCCAATCGTATGACTACATCACTGAAGCGAGAGAACCAGGCTCGTGGCGACTGTTTCAGTCCATAAAGAGACTTACGCAGTCGACATACCTTTCCAGCATACTCCCCCTCACCACGAAAGCCCGGTGGTGCATCCATATAAATAATCTCGTCCAGATCACCGTGAAGAAACGCATTCTTCACATCTAATTGATGAAGGGGCCAAGAGTACTCCGCAGCCAGAGAAATAATTAACCGAACAATAGTCAATTTTGCCACGGGGGCAAATGTAGCACCAAAGTCACGACCTGGTACCTGAGTAAAGCCCTTCGCCACAAATCTAGCCTTGTAACGATCAATAGTACCATCTGCCAGAAACTTCAGGGTGTAAACCCAGCGACAGCCAACAGGCTTCACCCCTGAAGGTAAGGAGACAAGATCCCATGTATGATTACGCTGAAGAGCGTCCATCTCTGTCTGCATGGCAAGAACCCACTGGGGCTCCCGCATAGCTTCCGAAATAGAGCGAGGAACCAGCGTATCTGATAAGGCCATAGTATAAGCTCGAAATGTGGGAGACAGATTACCATAAGAAACATAAGCAGAGATCGGATATAAAATCTTGGCGGTCCAACCATATCGATCAACTGGACGGCGATCACGCCTTGGATAACGACGCCCTAAATCACCATCCTCTACTGATAATATCTTATCAGGTAAAGTAACTGGCTCAGCACCTGTAATCTCATCAGTACTAACAACAGGTGCATCAATATGCTCAACAAACTGAGAAGTATTACCTGCATCGCCTGAGGTAGAGGGGATATCAGCAGGGTGATGAGAGCGAGGACAACGAGCATACACCTGCAAAGGAAGAGAGACTGGTAACTCTGTACTGACAGGGATGAGTGACTCCTTGGGAGGAAAAACGGATGACCCTGTAGGGATAGCGATCAATGACTCTGACTCTTGTGGTAATGGGAAGTCAAAGGGAGTATCATCAACTGGAGGGGCAGACAAAGGACTGAAAGGAAAATAAGGAATATGCTCAAGAAAGGTAACATCTAGACTGTGATACATACGACGCCTAATAGGATCATAACAGCGATACCCCTTAGATTGATGACAATAGCCCACAAAGATACAACGAATCGCTTTATCATCAAGTTTATGACGAGTAGGAGACCGATCCTGAACAAAACATGTGCATCCAAAAACACGAGGGGGGACCGGAAAAAGTGTCCGCTCAGGAAATAAGACCTGTAAGGGAGCCTTATGCTGAAGAACACGACTCGGCGTACGATTGCACAGAAAGGTAGAAGTCAAAACAGCAAAATGCCAATAAGATTTTGGTACCCTCATGCCTCTAAGCAGACAACGTACCATCCCTATCAAA